GATTTCTCGGCCGAGCTCCTCCTCCAATTTGGGGTTTGGCGTCTTGATGGTTTTCCAACAAATGGATGGACCGACAGTTTATACCAAGCCGCCTGTGAAGGGCTGATGGCTTTTACGAGGAGCCTTTACTTCATGTCCGAAATACACTTCCTGCCGAGGGGCGACCGCAATTAGAAAAATTTAATTTAATTTTTCATTTAAATTAATTTTCCATAACTTTTGGTTGTTCCTGGCACCGGGATATGAACCCGAGCCTTCCAAATGCCAGTACGCAACGCTAACCACTCGCCTACCACGGCCGCCACAACATGTTAACACACGAAAATACAAGTCACGGTAAGCTGTGTTCGGCTATTTTGTATTCAGGACCATTTCGAATGACTTAACAAATGTTTTGTGCGGAAATATTCCAGCTAAAGGACAAACACACATCCACACGTTGAAAAAGTACAGTCCTAAACGCCCGCACGCATTTGGGCTGGCAAGGAAAGACAATGAATTTTACTTGTTTTGGTTTTTTTCCTTCGTTCGCAATAAAAATGAATAAAAAAGGACTCCCTGACTTTGTGTGGAAATGACTGACAATGACAATGCTGATGCTGATGCATTTTGTATTTGTTTGAATTTATTGTCGTTTCGTTTGTTCGTGCGATTTTTTCCCATTAAGTAAAGTGACCCAAAGAGGCTTTTTTAAAATAGTGCTACCAGCGCTCAACGAATATTAAAGATTCAGCGTTTAAATTTCAATCAAATACTTTCGTATTTTTAAGTATCTTCAATTTTAATCAACATACTTCTTCTTCTTCCTTACTGGCGTAGGCACCGCTTACGCGATTATAGTCGAACTTATAACACTGCGCCATTCATTTCTTCTTTTCGCTGTTTGGTGCCAATTAGAAATACCTAATATAGCCAGGTTGTTCTCTGTATGGTCTTTCAAATGGCATGGAGGTATTTCTCTCCCTCTGCTACCACCGGCGGCTACTGCATCGAAAAGTTTCAAAGACGGAGTCTTCTAATCCATCTGGACCGCATGATTTAGCCCGCGCAGCTGCTGTTGCTTGGCTCGCCTTATAACTCATATAACTCATGATTCCAACAACAGCGATATTCGTTGTTCCCAACTCGTAGAGGACCAAAAATCTTACACAAAAAATTTCTCTCGAAAACTCTTAACGGGAAAACTCACACGATAAAGGGTCCAATCAGTTTTTTGACAGTGGGCTTTAGTCTTTCCCACAATGCCCTCGAGAGGACCTTATATGCGATATTAAGAAGGCTTAACCCACGATAAGTGGGGCAAACTGTGGCATCATCGATTTTGTGAATTGGGCAGTACATACGTGTACTTGGGTTCCCATCATCGGGCAGGTTTTCATCCATATTTTGCAAAGAAGCTGATTCATGCACCGCTATGTTTGAATAGTTCTGCCGATAAGCCGTCAGCTCCATCCTCTTCGCTATTCTTTAGGTGGCCATTCGCTAATCGAACCTCGTCATCGTCTTTTCCATCGTCATCGGTTAGGGAAGCGGATTCGCCATCAGCGAATAAGTGTGATCTTCAAGAATTCAGTATAATCTGGGCATCAGTTGCTAGGTCACCCTGTGTCCTACTAGACTATGGTACGGATATGAAACCTTCTGTAAGTCAAAGTTTCTTTTTGCAGAATTTTCGAAAATCACGCTTGTCAGGCAGCTTTTAAAGCTCTCCATGCTTTGCAGCTTCTTCCATTTTTTTCGCACAAACGTTTTGCTTTCATCTGCAATTATCGGTATGGATGGGATCCTGAACGTGCTACAGTCCTTAACAAGGTTGCGACTTTATAATGCGACATGTCAGCGCTCACTGCACCAGTTTTGTTTAGAGACTTTTCCAAAATCCGAGAGTTTCGTTTGCAGCTGTACTTAGGAAGCTATGCATACAGAACCAAGACTCAGAAGGGTATGGTGCTTGCCTATCCGATGTGGCCTTGAGTCATTTGAAACAAAGTAGAACTTGTGATTTACAAAGAAATACTAGTGTTACCTTTTGACCCAAACGGGGTTAGGTCGACGAAAGGATAACAGCCTGGATAAAATCCGGGTCAACTCCGGTACGTAGAGCCGGCTGTCTTGGGAGTTGGCACACTTATCCAGACTCGACCTCAGCATATCGAACGTAAGCCCTGCATATGGAGAGTCTGCGCCAGACACTAACCACCTCTTCCTTAAACCGACTCATCTAACCCACCCCTCTCTCTTTGGTCCGATCCCGTCGAAACAGCTCGTTTCCTGGACCTACCATTAGATGTCCTCGATGACTTAGATTAGTGAAACCTGTACCTAGGCGGGGTTAGCGAACCGCTACTACAACAACAAGGAAGGCAAAAGTCATCTAAAACAAGAAGCTAACCTGAAAAGATACCAGAAGGCTACTGCTGCCCTCTATACAAGCAAACGAGCAATGGGTCTTAGCCCCAGGATTTGCCGATTGATCTATGTTTAAATAGTAAGACTAACCCTCGATTGTGTGGTGGTCAGCTATAGGTAAAGATTCAAATATTAATTTCATATATAAAATTCAATAAAAATGCACATCATGTGAATCGGTGGTGCACGCCAGGTGAGACTCCGAATGCAATACTCAATATTTCGCCACTGAACTTGATGATATATCAGTCCACAGCAGTGACTGCACTTAATCTAAGAGAGTCATATTCCATCTTTACAGGAGATGACCAAGCAGTGCATCAGACTGTCTCCCACGCGGGATCTTGGTCACAGGGACTTCGAGGGGAAATTGTAAGGCGGATGAATTCGATAGACAAGGTGTGGGCAAGCTGATTCTTTTAGAAAAAAAGGAATTAGTATGCTTTTAAAACTTCCAAAGATATTTTCAAGGCATTTACATATGAACACGCCACGTCAATGTGGAATGATACCACAATCTGCCACAAATCAAGGCATACCTGGCCGAAATGGGTTAAGAAGAGATAACGAGCTTTGCACTACCTAAAAAAAGGGATAGGCTCAGAGTAATTGGAGTTCTGACTGGCTACTATTCGAGAAGGATGACACGCGGAAAGACAAGGGACTCTCTATAGAAAATGCTGCAGCAGCTGCATTATAAGGATGAAAAAATACCAGCTATCTCTTATGCGACTGTCCTGCTTTTAGCATTGCTGGATTTCGGAATTTTGATACCCTAAAACTGGATGGTCTATCGATCGATGCATCAGTGCATAAGTTCGTGCCCGATTTCAAGTGCAAACTAAAATTGAAATTTTTTGAAGAAAGTGCTTTTATTAATCAATTATGTATTCGCCATCATGTTCGGCAATCCACTTCCAACGTTCAACCAATTTACGGATGCCTGATTCATAGAAATCGCGCGGTTTCTCGTTGAAAAATGTGTCAAGGTGGTTTTTGACGTCTTCCACATTTTTAAATTTTTTTCCATTCAAATTGTTCTGCAGCGATCGAAACAAATGATAATCAGAAGGTGCAATGTCGGGTGAATATGGGGGATGCGGCATGATTTCCCAATTCATCTCCTTCAGTTTGGCCAGGGTCGGTTTTGCAACATGTGGCCTGGCGTTGTCATGATGGAAAAGAACTCCTTTGCGATTGGCCAAAATCGGACGTTTTTCATCAATTGCTTTCTTCAATTCGACCAATTGCTGACAATACTTGTTGGCAGTGATCGTTTCTCCAGCTGGCAAGAGCTCAAAATAGATCACGCCTCGGATATCCCACCAAATGCACAGCAGTACCTTCATCGGATGCAATCCACCTTTCGACATCGGTTCCGCCCCTTCGTGTGCCTGTTTCCATGTTCTTTTGCGTTGAACATTGTTGTACAGGATCCATTTTTCATCACCAGTCACGAGCCGATCCAAAAAAGGTTCGTTTTTGATCCGTCGAAGCAAAGAAATTGCTGTTGACATACGGTCCACTTTGTTTTTTTCACTCAACTGATGTGGCACCCATGTATCGAGCTTCAAAGTGTACCCAACCTTTTTTAAACGACGAAACGCAGTTGATTTGTTGACGTTCAATTCACTGGCAACCTCTTCCGTCGAAATACGTGAGTTATTCGCAACTAAAGTCCTTAGAACATCGTCATCAAGCTCAGAAGGCCGTCCACTGCGAGGTTGATCTTCGAGGTTAAAATCTCCAGAACGAAATTTCGCGAACCATTTCTTTACTGTGCGGAGTGCTGGAGCACGGTCCAAATAAACTTCGCGAATATCTTTAGTTGCAGCGCCTACTGTTTTTCCTTTGCGGAATTCGTATAACATAATATGACGCATATGATCTTTTTCGTTGTCCATCTTCCATGCGTCTTTTCACTAAGCAACTCAAATCAAAATGAAGTTATTTTATGCTTGATTTACAGTTCGGACTGTCACCTTTCCAACGATATATAATATGTATATATTTCTTTCACGTGCGCCACTCTCAAACGATTCGAACAGCATCTAGCGGAATCGGGCACGAACTTATGCACTCATCCAATATATGAAATTTGGCCTAAAATAATTATAATGAATTTTAAATTTAAATTTCTCGTTTTTCTCGGAAACTATGTTGAGTTGGTATTTTTCTTGAGAAAGAATTTGAAATTTACAATTTAAAAAAAAACTCAAAAACGTTTTAAATGATATCTCTCCACCGGAGTATTTTTCATAAATTTACCACGCGTTCATTGGAGTCATTACCGATGGTTTTGGCTTCCAAAAATGCTATTATTGCACTGTTACTCAAATATTTTATAAACTCTCAAAGGGTGTGTCACTTTTGTACATTTAGTTGTTTTAAAATTTAAAATTTACATACATACATACTTGCCTACATAAGCTTATTTACATATATCTACCGCTCCTACTATACATATGTATGTATATTAAGTCAATTCCCTCGTATACGAGAAAAAATAATATATACTCATACTAACTTTTTGTTCGTTTCTCTTTTCTCACTTTTTCTTTCCACTGTCGTTTGTTTTTCCAATTTAACAGGAAGCATGTCAAAATTACATTCGGATCATGGTGGTGACGTCGCCGGGTCGTTTGTTCGTGTGTGGCACCAATTCATTTCGGCCTATGTGTAATACATACATAATCAACGACAACAACTATACCCAAGAGGCGAGCAAAAGCGGCCAAGCCGTGTGTCCCTACGATCCGCATCACAATTCCACATCAGTATTTGCTGGTAAGTACATATCTACATATATAAGTACTTCATATGATATTTTTTTGCATACATATATGTTCAATCAGAGATACATATGTATTTAAAAATGTAAAAGCTCAACACTGTTTATGAAGAAAAAAACCAACTTTAAACTCTCTACCGACACTCAACACAACCGTCGTTTTCAGCGAACGTTATCAGCCAATTCGCAAGTTAGCTTTTATCGTATGCAACAAAATGTTTTTTCTAGCAAATTTACATTATTTGGCTTTTAGAATATTTCCACTGTCCTGCTGTTGTAATTATTTTTCTATGAAGCAATAGTTCTTGACCTTTTTTTATAACTTTTGTATATTCTATTTCATTCTATTCTTTACATTTTGTTCAATTTGATCGTGTTTGTTTTGTTATTGTCCTTCATGTTTAATTTTTTTTGTTCATTTTGCATTTTAATACTTTGTCTCCCACTTTTATCTTCTATTTGTTGTTATGACAAACCGTCAGGGTGTTCTCAGCGTGAGTTTTAATTTTGTTCGGCCAAGGGTTATTTGGAAGATCCCAAGGGGCCTGAGGTTAAACTTTTTTAAAATAACTTTTAATTCATCTCAAAGCAAACCTGAGCTCAATTCTTAATCCACGCATGTCTAGCACTAACGAAACTCAGGCATTCAGTAATACGGTTCCACCCATATTCAGTCTACCTTACATATCCTTCCAAGGCAAATGTTTCGTTCATTTTATTTGGAGTGTAACTTTTTGCTAAAAGTTTTGCTTCATTTCTCTATTTTGTAAATTGATGCGCCATTTTGTGGCAGCAACGGTATATAGACATATGTATGTGGATACTTCACTGTGCAGAGCAATGTGACTGGTGCTGCCCATACTCGGATTTTGCTTAAGTTTTTTGTGTTTTGACTAAAATTTTTTTGTCATTGTAGCGCCATGTGTTCCCTACTCCCTTTTTCGTGCCATTATTTTCACTTAGTATTTTTCATTATTTTCAAACCCAATTTTTGTTAGTTTTTCACGTCAGACTTTTTCACCTTTTGTTTCACGTTTAGTATGTATCATTTTCACAAATTTTTGCCCTTTTAGTTATAACAAATTTTTTGCGCATCTTTTCCATTTTACTGCTAACTTTTCTTTTTATTTATTTTTTTTTTATACTACGAGATTTGTCTTTTTCTACATATTATTGTGTTGAAGTTTTTTGGCACACCAAAGTCAGATAAAAATTGTCATTCATCATCCGATGCGCACATACAAATTCGTATGCCTGAAAGCATAGATATATTTATGTATGTATTAGGATATCCGCTATACTTCTTTCATGATGCTGTTACTTCTGAATACCAGCCTTTTAGGAAACATGTGGCAACCAATTTATTTTATTCCACTTAGAGCATTTGTATTATTTTTAGAATGTCATGTGAATTTATAAGAATTAAAATAATCTAAGATGGTAGAGCAAAATAATTTGAAATGACTTGAAATAAAATAAAAAAAGATAAATTATTAAAAAAAAAGAAAATTAAACTAAATAAAGCGAACTAAATTAAATGTAAAAAAATAATGCGCAAAAAATAGAAATAATTCAAAAATAAAATGAAATAAAATAAAATAAAATAAAATAAAATAAAATAAAATAAAATAAAATAAAATAAAATAAAATAAAATAAAATAAAATAAAATAAAATAAGATGAGATAAGATAAAATAAAATAAAATAAAATTAAACAAAATAAAATATAAAAATATTAAATAATATAAATAAAACAAATCAAAATAAAATTAAATAAAACAAATAAAATGAAATAAAAAAATAAAATAATATAATTAAATAAAATCGAAAAAAAAATTATAAAATAAAAGCAAAAAAAATAATGCCAAAAATTAGATTAAATAAATAAGATTCAAAAACATAGTAAAATAGATCGAGATAAATAAAGACTGTAAATTAATTAATTTAATAAAAAATTATTTAAAGTGAACTAAAATTAATTAATTGTAAATATTAAAATTAAGTAATTCTAAATTAAATAATGTTGATATAAAATAAGGTAGTTATTAAAAGAAAAATATAATAACATGAAATCTACTAAATTTATTTATTTAATATTTTAAAAAAATTATTATTATTTTTTAATTTATTTAATATGAAATAAATTTGAAAATAAAATACAAAAAAAATATAATGAAAAATTTTAATAAAATTAAAAAACAAAAAAGTGAATCAAAATATATTAAATATAACAATAACATAAAATAAAACAAAAATTGAGTAAAATTATATTAAAAAAGTAAAATAAATACTTTAAAGTAACTTAAAAAAATGAAAGAAGCGAAAAAAGTGAATCAAAATAAAATAAAATATTATCTAATAAAATAAAAAATAATAAACAAAAATTATAAAACTAAATTAAAAAAAATAAATGAAATAAAATAAAAATGAAAGTAATAAAATAAAAAATAGATAAATAAAACCCCTAACATAAAATAAAAGCAAATTAAAAAAAAAACAAAATTTAAAAAATGCAAAAAATTAATTAATTAATAAAATGAACTTACTTAAATGAAAAAAAAATTAAAAAAAAAAAATATAATAAAATAAAATAAACTGTTTTACTTACATTGAAATAATACTAAATAAAAATATAACTATAAAACAATATAAAATAAATAAAAATAAGATAATAAACAAAATAAATATAAAATTTAATTGATTTAAAACTGTCAAAAAATAAAAGAAATAAAAATAATTAAACATAAAATAAAATGAAACAAATTAAAATAAATTAAGATATTAAATTTAAATAAAATAATATTAAACTAAAATTAAATAAAGTTTAAACTAAAGGAAAATGAATCAAAATAGAATAAAATAAAGTAAAAGTAAAGTAAAAAAATTTAATAAAACAAAAAATAAAAAGAAAAGAAATAAAAAAGAATAATCTAATATAAAATAAAAAATAAAATAAACCAAAAGAAAATATCTAAATTAAATTAAATGAAGAATTGAATGTTTTTAAATAAAATAAAAAAAATTAGGAAAATGTGAAATTATGTGAAATAATATTAAACAAAAAATAACGTTAAAATCAAATAAAATGAACTAAACTAAAACAAGAAATTTAATTAAGTAAAAATTAGTGCAGAAAAATGAGATTAAATAGAAAAAGTAAAATGAAATAAAATATAGTAAAATAGAACAAAATAAATAAAAATTAAAATTTAGTAGAATTTGTTAAAAAATAAAGTTAAATGAAGTGAAATAAACTTAAAAAATTTTAAGTATTAAGACAAAGTAATATTAAGTTAAATAAAATTAAAATAAAATAAAGTAAAAAGTAAAATATAATAGACTGAAATTTTTTAAAAATTGAATGGAATAAAAATCTATATAAATTTTAATATAAATAAACAAAATTAAATATGATTACATAATATAAATAAAAGAAAATAAAACATAATTTATATTTAAAAAATGAGATAAAATAAATTATTGTAAAGCTAAATAAATTAAACGGAAAGGAATTTAAAAAATCGTTCATCGGTAAACTTACTCTAATTTGAGTAAAGCAGTTTGGGATCTCTGTGCCAGAAAGAGCTACATATGTGTTCAAAGCACATATTTTCGATATGAGTTTTTGTTATCCCCTCATCTTCATCTCGATTTATAACCAAATATTTATTTTATATTTTAGTGCTCTGTGCATTGCTATATCACGCTTCGCTTATTTTACCGTTGCATAACGGTTAGTTAGCGGTTGACGTTTTGTTGAACAGACGAATGAACAGCAAAATCGCTTTGAGGTTAGGTTTAATAGTAAAAGCTACTGACTGCTAGCGACCTCTAAAAGCGCAAAGCCAAAATGGCAGATGAAAAAAAGATTGCTGTGTATTTGTGCTCTGCCACCATTTTGGCTCATCAAGGATGATATGAAGAAAATATATTCGCATTTATTGTACGCTTTATTTCTATTGCATATATATATATATATATATTTATACATATAAAAATTGTTTTTTTTTTTTGCTTGTACACACACATGATTTTTATTTGCCATAAATATTTTTATCACATTCAAATGACGGTAATAACGATTTGTGGGCAATTCTATTTTTTATTTAATTTTTTTTTTTATATTTTTTTCACGATTATTCGCTCTCGGTGTTTCAATCGTTGACAGCAGATACACGCCGCGTTTTTGCCTTTGCCGGGTTCATGGTTTCACTTTGCCCACTGACTAGGATTTGATGATAATTTATGACCAAATAAATGTGAAAACAAATCTGCATATCATGGACACGTTTCGCTTATGCATTTGTGTGGGTGTATATGTGTGTTTGTTTCCGATTTTGTATTTTGTAATGCTTATTTGAGTGCCAACCAAAAGGCTGTTAATGCAAAATTTTAGTTTTTTCTCTTTACAGAAATAGACTTTTAGTTGTATGTTATTCACACGTAGGTAAGTGTCTGCCACTGGTGGCAAAATATTGAAACCTGACTGGTGTACAAAATATGTCATTCGATAGCGATTAATATAATTTATTGCATAAAATACGAGTGTGGATTCAGCTAAGAGTTTTTAAAAAAAGTGAATAATTTTTTAATATAAAATCATCGCTTAAGCTAAAAAATTTTCGAATGTTCAAATTTCAAAGAAATATTACCGATTTTTCTGAAACAATAATATTTATGGCATTTGATCTCATTACTAAAAATACAACTAGTTCGCCTTTTAATGGAATTTTTTTCCACCCCGAACATTTTCAGTAAGTTTTAAGCAAAGATTAAAAGTGCACTTCTTCTTCTTCATTGATGTAGGCATCGGAATTATAGCCGAGAAAATAACAGCTCGCCATTCGGGTGCTCTCTTCGCTGATTGGCACCATTTGGAAACACCAAGCCCTCCTCTTTTGCTTCCTCCAGCGGCTACTACATCTAAAACTTTCAGAGTTGAAGTCTTTTCATCCATTCCGACCACATAACCTACCCACCTTAGCCCACCTTGCTGC